AAAAAAAAAAAAAAAAAAAAAAAGAATTGACTTGGGTAAGTGGTGGGAGAAATACCTTTTCTTTTTTATAATTTTTTTTTCTTTATGTTTTCTACAATGAATGTGTGTTACTGTTACCATAAAAATGTTCTGGCCAGAGGAGGATAAAGTTACAATCAAAGGAAAACAAGAGCAAAGACCTGATCTAAGCCCGGGGAGTAAGAGGAAGTACCCTGAAAGCATCAGTCTCTTTTACTCGGGTGTGTCCTGGCTCAGACCCATCTTCATGATCCTGGAACATCCGCCTGCCTCTAAGAGATACCCATTTATCAGTTCACCATCAGGGCGGGCGGCATCAATAACAACTTGGGGTGCTCCCCCCGATCCAGGGCCGGGTCCAGGCGCAGTGTACGCTGGCTGAACTTGACTGTGTGCGTTGGCGGGAACGGCCGGGCAGGCGCTGGGTTTGCTCAGGTGTGCGTCCCGTCGTGCTGTTTTTCAGCTCGCCCGTGCATCGTGGGGGAGTGGAGCCCCTGGAGCGGCTGTGCGGACCAGTGCAGGCCCACGGCCCGCGTGCGGAGGCGCGCGGTACGGCAGGAGCCCCGGAATGGCGGCGAGCCCTGCCCGGCCCTGGAGGAGAGAGCCGGCTGCTTGGAGTACGCGACGCACCAGGGCCAGGACTGCGGGCACGCCTTCGGTACTGCGCTTTCCCTGATCGCTGCCCCTGGGGTCTCTGGTGACTTTCCATCCCTTCGTCCCATAGAAGGCCATGTGCCAGGCCGGGAAAGTTCCATGAGCTGCAGGGAATGGGATGGGCCAGTCTGCCCAGAGGAGATAGGAAGCTCAGGAAATACTTGATCAAGGCATTATACGTCAGCTGTGTAAAGGCCTCCTCCCACCGCCTCCCAGTTACAACCCGGCGGTGGCCCCTTGCTGCTGTGCGTGCGCCCGGTGTAACTAACGGACGCGCACTGCGGTTTCTGAGCAAACTCAGTCAAGCTGACCACAAAGGACTTCAGGTAGGATGAGAATATTTCACTCAGGCTAGGATGTGTCCAGTAAGGATAACCCTGTTTCACCTTTCAAGGTCATTCTTGTTGAATCACGAATGCTTGCATACATGTGAAAATAGTAGAAAAAATTGAAATTCCGAAAGGATGATAAAATGATTAAAACACCTGCCTCTCCTCTCAAGCCGACTGGGTTGGAGCTGATGTGATCGGATCTATGATTTGGGAAGATCGTTCTGGTTGTGGCGTGGCCAAGGAGACCAGGAGTCGGCTTGATCATGAGTCAGGAGCCACAGGAAACTCACACAGAAATAAACAAAAAGGCCAAAACAGGGGTGTTTAATCGGGATTGAATCTGATAGAGTGAAACACTGATTTCTCAGGGTAGCAAAGATCACATGTTTTTCATAGGAACCTGGAAAATTCCATGTCAGCATGACCCTCACTAAACCATTTTTTCCTTCCACACACAAATATTTATTGAGAGTCTACTTGATGCCAGGCACTGGGCTGAGTGCCAGTTACAACGGGGGAAAAATGTTGACGTGGAGTCTGCTTGTCAGGTAGATCACAGTCTAGTGGGAGGGGGAGATGATAAGCAGATAATCCTAGGAAACTAATCTCAGGAAATTACAGCTTCAGTGTGGTGCCACAGGTACTGAACAAGGGAGAGGTGTCGGGAGCTGTGAGAGTGTGTTGTAAGCAGATTCCCCCTGGCCTTGGTGGAGGAGGGTATCCCCAGAGGCCAGGAGGGGAGCGAATTCCCTGAGGACGTGGAGATGAGGCTGAGAAATGCAGAGCTATCTAGGCAGAGAGACCAGTGTGGCGAACCAGACAGTCAGGTGTAGGGCATTTGAGGGATTTGGGGACCGATCTAGGAAAAACGCATGATCACGAGAGTCAGTAACACACAACAGCCTTACAGGGTTGCATGAGAGGGGATATCCGGAGGCTATGATATGGCGACCCCCATACAGAAGGAGAAGAGAGGAATCTGTCAGGAGCTTGTGTGTCTAGGTGATGTTAGCCAAGCAGCATGGTTTGGAGTCTCTGAGTGAGAGGGCTTCAGAGGGCAGGTGCCATGACGGCTTGGGGTTTTATAACCATAAGGCTTTACCTTATCAATGGCCGGCAGATGTTGGGTGTAATTTCACAGGGTATGCAAAACAGGCAGGACCTAAATGACTAAAAATCTGCTTGTTTGGCTATTTTATAAAGAAATTGGGGCTTCCCTGGTGGTGCAGTGGTTAAGAATCCGCCTGCCAATGCAGGAGACACGGGTTCAAGCCCTGGTCCGGGAAGATCCCACATGCCGTGTAGCAACTAAGCTCGTGCGCCACAACTAGTGAGCCTGTGCTCTAGAGCCCGCGAGCCACAACTATTGAGCCCACGCGCCACAACTACTGAAGCCCGCATGCCTAAAGCCCATGCTCCGCAACAAGAGAAGCCACCACAATGAGAAGCCCACGCACTGCAACCAAGAGTAGTCCCCACTCACTGCAACTAGAAAAAGCCCACGCACAGCCACGAAGACACAGTGCAGCCAAAAATAAATTAAATAAATAAAATTTTTAAAAAATTGGAAGTATAAAATTTTGAGTTTGGTGCCAGTAGCTTTTTTTTTTTTTGCGGTACACAGGCCTCTCACTGTTGTGGCCTCTCCCGTTGCGGAGCACAGGCTCCAGACGTGCAGGCTCAGCGGCCGTGGCTCACGGGCCCAGCCGCTCCACGGCATGTGGGATCTTCCCGGACCGGGGCACAAACCCGCGTCCCCTGCATCGGCAGGCGGACTCTCAACCACTGCACCACCAGGGAAGCCCGGTGCCAGTAGCTTTTGAGGCTAACAGGTCTCAGCCTGCTGTGAGAAAATAAACCACCTAGGGCCCATCTTTGGCTGATTTATATAACACGGGGGGAGGCACAAGGCCCATTTGAGAAGCCGAAGGAAGGCCAGTGTGTGGGGAGCAGAGAGGGAGGCTTCTGGGCTGACACTGCCCAGGATGCAGGGCCTTGGGGTCCCTGTTTAGGATTCTGGTCTTTCTCTTAAGAGCCGTGGAAAACCTCTGGGGTGTTTTCTGCAGGTGCCAATGTGATCAGATCTGTGATTTGAAAAGATCTCTTGGGGAGTGGAGTGGGTAGTGGCAGGGCCAGGGCAGAGGCCCTCCATGGATACGGCAGTCGAGTTAAGCTCGCAGGGAAATAATTTAGGGCTCACAACAACGGTCACAGAATGAGCTCTCATTCAGCTGAGGCACTCTGCAGAAACACTACAGAAAGGCTGAGGGAGGAAGCTGCTGTGGGACATTATTGATTTTTTTGATGGCTGTCACAGCCTATAGCAGATCTATCAGAAAAAGCAACTGGGCTTCCCTGGTGGCGCAGTGGTTGAGAGTCCGCCTGCCGATGGAGGGGACACAGGTTCGTGACCCGGTCCGGGAGGATCCCACGTGCGGCGGAGCAGCTGGGCCCGTGAGCCACGGCCGCTGAGCCTGCGCGTCCGGAGCCTGTGGTCCGCAATGGGAGAGGCCACAACAGTGAGAGGCCCACATACCTCAAAAAAAAAAAAAAAAAAAAAAAAAAAAAAAGCAACTGCACCGTTCAGTTGTAGGGATTGGCTGCTAGACCGTATTCCTGTAGCACATCTGAATCTTCATCGTGGCTCCAGGATGCCCAGATCCCTTCCCCTTCCCAGCCCTGGATCTTTTCAGAGAAGGATGTTGCAGGTCACAGGAAAGGGAACAGGAAGCATGAAAATGCATATCTTGCATTTATTTGTATTTTCTTCAATTTCTTTCATCAGTGTCTTATAGTTTTCAAAGTAGGGGTCTTTCACCTCCTGGTTAAATTTATTCCTAGCTATTTTATTCTTTTCCATACAAGTGTAAATGGGATTGTTCTGTTCATTTCTCTTTCTCATAGTGTGTTCCTATGAGAAACCGAATTCTTTTATTAGTTCTAACCGTTTTTTGGTGGAGGCTTTAGGGTTCTAACCGTTTTTTGGTGGAGGCTTTAGGGTTCTCTCTATATAGTATCATGTCATTTGCAAATAGTAGCATTTTTATTTCTTCCTTTTCAATTTGGATGCCTTTTATTTCTTTTCTCTTACCTAACTGCTGTGGCTAGGACTTCCAATACTATGTGGAATGAAAGTGGCAAGAGTGCCCATCCTTGTCTTCTCTTAGAAGAAAAGTTTTCAGCTGTTCTCCATTGAGTATGTTAGCTGTGGGTTTGTCAATAAGGCCTTTATTATGCTGAGATACTTTCCTGCTATTCCCAGTTTGTTGACATCAACAACATAAATGGATGTTGAATTTTGTCAAATGCTTTTTCTGCAACTTTTGAGATGATCATATGATTTTTATCCTTCGTTTTGTAAATGTATCACATTGATGGATTTGCAAATCAATGTAACCATCCTTGCATCCCTGGAATAAATCCCACTTGATTGTGGTGTATGATCCTTTTAATGTATAGTTGGATTCAGTTTGTTAATATTTTGTTGAGGATTTTTGCATCTATGTTCATCAAGGATATTGGACTGTAATTTTCTTTTTTTGTAGTGTCCTTGTCTGGTTTGGGTATCAGGGTAATGCAGGCTTCATAAAATTTGTTTGGAAGGTTTTCCTCCTCTTCAATTTTTTGGAAAAGTTTGAGAAGGTTATTAAATGTTTCTTTTTATTTTTTTTGGGGGGGGGGTAAGCGGGCCTCTCACTGCTGTGGCCTCGCCCATTGCGGAGCACTGGCTCCGGACGCACAGGCTCAGCTGCCATGGCTCACGGGCCCAGCCGCTCCACGGCATGTGGGATCTTCCCGGACCGGGGCACGAACCCGTGTCCCCTGCATCGGCAGGCGGACTCTCAACCACTGCGCCACCAGGGAAGCCCTATTAAATGTTTCTGAATGTTTTGTAGAATTCTCCAGTGAAGCCGTCTGCTCCTGGGCTTTTGTCTGTTGGGAGATTCTTTTATTACTGTTTCAATTTCCCTACTAGTAATCAGTCTATTCAGATTCTCTATTTCTTCGTGATTCAGTCTTGTATGTTTCTAGGAATTTATTCATTTCTTCTAGGTTGTCCAATTTGTTGGTGTATAATTATTCACAATAGTCTCTTATCATCCTTTGTATTTGTGTGGTATTAGTTGTAACTTCTCCTTTTTCATTTCTGATTTTATTTATTTGAGTCCTCTTTTTTTCCTTGGTGAGTCTAGCTAAAGATTTGTCAATTTTATTTATCTTTTCAAAGAACCTGCTCTTAGTTTCATTGATATATTCTACAGTTTTTAGTCTCTATTTCATTTATTTTCACTCTGATCTTTATTATTTCAGGAAGAACTGAAATAATATTTTTAATCCTCATGAAACCAGGACTTGATAAACTGTGAAATTCTCAGCCTACCAAAATGGCAAAGGACAGTAAAATGAAGAGATTCACTCACAGGAAAACATGTTCTAGAGGAACACACGCAGGGTGTGGTTGTATTACCTTTTGTCAATACCTCAGAAAGCTGGAGGTAACAAATTATCACAAACTTAGTGATTTAAACAACACAAATGTATTATCTTAGAGTTTTATAGTCAGAAGTCAGACAGGTCTCACTGGGCTCAAATCAAGGTGTAGGTGGGGCTGAATTCCTTTCTGATGGCTCCGGGAGAGAATCCGTTTCTTTGCATTTTCCATCATCCAGAAGCTTCCTTTTCCCATGGCCTCCTTCCTCCATCTTCACAGCCAGAAACATTGCATCTTTCTGTGCCTTTCTTCCACGGTAACATCTTCCTCTGACTCTTTGAAGGACCCTTGTGCTTACATTCAGCCCATCTGGATAATCCAGGATGATCTCCCTATTTTAAGGTAAACTGAGTAACAACTTGAATTCCTCTTTGCCTTGTAACATAACATATTCACAGCTTCTGGGGATTAGGACATGGACGTCTTGGGGAGGGGCCATTATTCTGCCTGTCATGGAGGTAGGACAGTGTCATCATTCTTGGTTTACACATGAAGACATTGGAGCTCAGTGAGATAACAGCATTTGTAAAGGGACCAGAATTTAAACCTGGATCTCATGGCTCTAAATCCTGTGGGTTTTCCCCCCCTTGATAGTTTTGCTGTTAAGTGTTATCATTAGTTATTATTATTATTATATTGCAAATTAATATTGATATTGTAAATTCATTACTATTCATATATTAGTAGTATTATTATCTTTTAAAATCACAGTTACAGAATCTGGTAACTAAGTAGAACTATAAAGGCCGTGCAAGGCCAGTGAATGAAACATGATCACTGAGACACTCTTATTAATGATCAAGTAGCCATTGCATTCTTTCTGTTTCATTTAACGTGTATCATGAGTCTATTTCTATCATAAAAACAAATGCAAATACCCATATTATATATTTGTTGCCCATATTGACAATTGTTTATATGCGTTTTCCTCTTGCGAGGTTGCTGTGCATTATCATGAACCGTATACTCCCAGGCTGCTGTTATTTGTCCGATTTTCACTCTGTCGTCTTCTACACCATATCTACAGACTAGTGGTTTTAAGCCTGCTTTTGTGGCACCCCATTGTGTCAGAAGGCTTTATGAAATTCTCAAAGCAAATTTAATTTACTTTCATGTTCAAAGTAAGTATGTGCAGTGCCACGCTTTTAGAAGTGGAAGTTGTAAAAGCGAACGGTGGTATGTTGATGGGATGCCAGAAAAGCTGGCAGATAGTCTGTTAACAAAGAATCTATTACATTGACTATTGTTGCCAGGAAGGGGAAAGGAGGGGTAGCTGGCGTTCATTGAGAGCCTTTGCCCTGGGGCACTGGTTACGTGCTTCCACGCAGAGGCAAAAGCGGGGCTGGAGGTAAAAATCATTTCTGAATTACTTACTGCTCTTAAATAATGAAAAATTGAATTTCTGGGGGTTGTTGAAAAGTGGTGCTGGTTCAGAGCTCGCCAGGAGATCTGGATTGTTTACTTTAGACTCTTGCCAGAGGGAAGGATGCCCCCCTCAATAGAATGTGCCAGCAAACCAAGCCCGGGCTGGAGGAGGCAGGAAACTGAGGAGACAAGGTCCAGGGTTACTGGCTTGCTTCTATGATGGGTCATAAGCACAGAGGCTTGATACTGGGCATGGATAGTAAGTCTTAAAGAAGCTAGTGTCTATAGTGGGGCTCCTGCTTTTGGTCATTTACTATTTATTTTCCCCTCACTTAACCTCGAGGAGCCTCAGTCTTCTGATGAGAAAACCTGCTCAGAACACCTCTTGACAAAGCTTTGGTGAAGATCGGTAACATACAACATGAAAGCACTTTGTAAACGAGCAGGCTACACACGTACAAGGAGCGACGCTGCTCCAGGCGTTAATCTGCGCCCACCATGAGCCCTCCCCCACCTCCTGGACCACACTTCCCGCCCCTCCCCCATGCCTGAGGGAAATCCGAGGGTCAGGGCTACCATCTCCCTCTCGTCGGTAATATGCTGCAATACTGAAACTTAAAAGAGTGAAACTTTGTCATCTGTATTGCAATAGAGGCAGCCTGCCACATTTAGACATGAGCCTTGAATACGTTTCTTAACCTCTTTGGGCCACAGTTTCCTCATCTGTGAAATGGGGAAATAATAGGGTCTATCTCAGAGTGGGGTTATGAGAATTAAATGAATTAACACATGAAAAACACTTAGCATCATGCCTGGAAACTTAGAGGTGCATCACTGTTAGCTTTTATTTTTATTATCTTAGAAATTCTTCAGATTTTGTATCAGAAACTATAGTCATACACTTGCCCGCTACTTTCTAACCAAGTTTCCCACCCACTCCCCCAAGCTACACATTAAGTGCATTGCCTTTGAACTTGTAACAATACCTGCAGTACAAATTAGGAGCTCAGATAAATGTTTTGCGCTAAAGAAACACATCCTGAAAATGTTATAGTTTGACTGATACAATGCTACGTGGATGTAGCAGTAAACGCATTCCTCACTTAGTGAATAAGCCTATAAATGCGTCAGAAGAACAGAAATGAAAACAATACGTGAGAAAATGAAAAGGCTTTCGCTGTTTGTGTTTCTGATAATTAGGTCTAAGAGAAACAGAGAAGGATCCTAACGTACATGCATTCACTTGTCCTTTTTGATTCCGTCCGTGGATTTTGGAAGTTCAAAAGCTACAGTCACATTTAGAAAGAATGACATGTTCTCTTTGGAAAACAAACATGTTAGCACAGCGAGGAAGAGCCACTCGGCTGGGAGTCTGTAGTTTACACTAGATGTGGGTAGCGTTCAGACTCCAGAGATTAGGTGCTCAGACACACGGGGCAAAAGCGGTGCCTGCGACGCTTAGGATCAAGTGGCTACGCTTGTCTTATATTCCCATGCCGTAGAAAAATGACTCCTCATTCAGAAAATCTAAAGAAGAATTAAGGCTGCCATCTTGTGGCAGGAAGGAGCTTAGCCGGATGAGGATGCAGGCTTGAAGCCTCTATTTTGCTGCTGGTACCCGCATGCCCTTGTGCTCTTGTGGATGATGGGCATCGCAGAAGTCAACCTGAGCTGGTATCTCCCCTTCCTGGGATGGTCCAGTTTCTGAAAGGAGAGCTAAGAAGGATAGTTGAGCCATCTCAGCTGCAAGGCTCAGTATAGGAACAGAAGACCTCAGGGAAGAAGGACCCGTGAACCTTGGTGGCAATTTCATTCATTCATCCATTCATTCATTCCTTCATCGACCCATTCATTCCTCGCACACATATTTATTGAGCATGTAAATGTGTGAGGGCTCCCGTGATGAACAAGGCAAAACCCTGCCTTTCTTGAATTGAGAGCAGGGTAGAATCAAGAGGTTATCTCCAGGTGCTACAAAGAGCAACAGATGCCCCCCCAGACTTAGAGATGAAATAGGAGGTAGACAAACAAAATAAGAGAGCAGAAGTGGGAGGGAAGGATTTCTGGCTGTTTTCTTTTCTCCCACCCAGAGTGTCAGAGGTGGGAGTGGGGAGAGGGGTGAGGAGAGATGCTTTAGGACCTTTCTTCTCTGAGTTTGGTGTAGAGAGAGTGCTATGCTGGCCGGCACCTGGTGGTCACACCCTGGGCTCTATGGTTGATGGTGAAACTTCCAGGCTGTGGTTATCAGAACACCTGGGAACATTGACCCTTTCCTCCTTTTGCTTTTTCCCTTTCTCATTTCCTGTCTCTGGTTGTCTTTTTTGTCTTTTTCTTTTTCTCCTTTTACCCCCTTTTCTCTCTTACCTTCCTTCCTTCCTTCCTTCTCTCTCTCCTTTTCCTTTATTCTTTCTATCTTTCCCTTTTCTTCTCTGTGTCTCTTCTTTCCATTAAAAAAAAAAAATCGTCTGGCTTCCCTGGTGGCGCAGTGGTTGAGAGTCCGCCTGCCGATGCAGGGGACACGGGGTCGGGGCCCGGGCCGGGGGGGCCCCACACGCCATATGGGATATTAATAGTTAGTTGTAAATGTCTCCCCTCCCCAGTATGTCACCTGTCTTTTCATTTTGTTTAGTCTGGTTTTTATTGGAAAAAAGTTTATAATATTTTGTTGCCAAATATGTCATTTCATCCATTATTCCATTTTGTTTACTCTCTCTATAAGATTACAAAAATATTCTCTCATATTTTCTTCCAATACTCTTTTGATTTTACCTTTTTACATTTAGGTCTTGATTTAGCAGAAATTTATTTTTGTTTGTGGTATGAAGTAGGAATCTTTTTTTTTTTCTTTCCAAACAAGTATTTGATTTTCCCCTAAAAAAAAAAAAAAAAAAAAAAAAAAAAAATCCTCTCCCTTTCTCTAGTACCTTATTCTTTTCCTTGGTTCCCCCGACCCTGCCCATCTTTTTATTATTCCCTCTGGGCTGTGCTTCCTGGCCCCTCTCCTGCCTTTCCACGCAGTGTTATCACTGCAGACAACCGTGCTTATCAAAAGCCTGCTGTTCCCTTCCCTACCCAACTGCACTGCACAAAGCTTTATGGAATTCGTTTCTGGGGACTCTGACTTCACCTCCTTGCACTCCTTGATGGCGTCCCATAGATTTAGGGATGGAAGGCTTTAGACGGGTTTGGAACCAAGTTTGGGAAATGTCGCCCTGGGTCCTTCAGGCTTCTCGTGTTCAAGGTCATTCTCCTTTTCCAGTCCCTGCCTTTATAACTACCTCTGCGTTCAACAAGCAGCGAACAAGACAAGCGGCCTCCCCACAGTGGTCCACAGACACAGAGGATGCTGGGTAACTTGCTGTTTTTTTTACTTACGTTTTTCCGATTGGTCGGTCAAGTCAGCCCACAAAGGTTATTTGTTCATTGACAAATGTGACTCTTTATCACGGAACTGGGAAGTACTTGTCCCTCCCCTGTTTTACGTTTAAAAAAGATTTGTTTCTGGGGTCTGATCCCTAAGAAGAAACATGCTGTATAAAAATGAGTTGATACTATTTTGTCAGTCCCACTAAGGCTGCTCATCTTATAGTCCTTAGGGGACTGTGGACTCCAGCACTGCCTCCGTCTGGTGAATTTGAACGTGGCCTCCACCTGAGCTCTGAGGACTTTATCAAGACCTAATGGCTCAGGCTGGGAGGAACCTCTAACCTCATTAGAAATCCACCCTTCTGCGGTCAGAATAGAGACGCCAGACGCACTGCATGTTCTACTCCCCACACTACCTCTCACTGCTCGTTAGTTTTCCTTCTTGTAAAATGAGAATATTAATTCCTACCCCGTGGGTTGCTATGAGAATTTAATGAGAAAATATCATTGAAAAGATGTCAGGGTTAAGCTGTCTGAAATTGACTGAACCTACACCAATAGAATTTCCTACCTTAATACCTTAAGGTATCTAATAAATAATACCGTCATTAAAGATCTTCTTTGAAGCAGATTCTCCAGACACTTTCCATCTAACTTTTTACAGCTCATAATTGTATGGATTAAAAAAATAAAAACTAGCCCATTTTTAGCATAGTTAGGACCTAAAATGCCACATTGTTTTGTTTCCCTGAAGAATTGCAAAATTGTGTTGCTTTTAAGTACAAGACTCTAAAATATTCATCCATGTCTGGATGCGCCCCCAGAGCCTTCAGAGTCTAGTCACATAATAGAGTGTTTCCTGCAGCTCAGTATAAGGTGACACTAGTCTGTTGCAGGAAAACATGTCTCAGCTTCCCATGTCCTTTTATCTGTGATGCCCAGTGTAACTTTGATGCTCGACTTCAAGTCAAAACTCATCTCATTAGCCCAGATCATGCAGGTGAGCCAGGTGGGGGAGAACAGGGAAGGCCCCAGGAATGTTTGTGGGGCAGAAAAACACAAGTGCTGGCCTGGAAATCCAGGACTAGCCCTCTTGGGGCTCACATGTTCTCAGGCTCAAGCAAGGTCTTGTTCATTTTCTGTAATTCATTAAAATCTCAGCAAAGTGGGCTTCCCTGGTGGCGCAGTGGTTGGGAGTCCGCCTGCCGATGCAGGGGATACGGGTTCGTGCCCCGGTCTGGGAGGATCCCACATGCCGTGGAGCGGCTGGGCCCGTGAGCCATGGCCGTTGGGCCTGCTCGTCCGGAGCCTGTGCTCCACAGTGGGAGGGGCCACAGCAGTGAGAGGCCCACATATGGCAAAAAAAAAAAAAAAAAATTTCAGCAAAGTTATCAAGGGGAATTTTTCTCGT